GAGGCTGAGACTCAGCTGCATGAGGATCTGAAGCATCTCCTTTTGTTTCCACTGCATCCTGACAAATGGGAAAGGACCGGAGTTTCTCACGGCATTTTCGGTATGTTTTTCGCGTGGCTGGGAAGGGGCTGGGAATGTCCCCACGATGTCTCTCCTGCCTCTCTGAGCTGCAGGGACCCTGCCTCCCGGTGCCGGTGTGGCCCTGCCACCAACCCGAGCCCATTGCTGCAGCGGCACGAGCTTTTGGGGGGAGCAGAGCGAAGCCCAGATGGAATATTGGGGCTGGGAAGGGGCAGGAAGAGCACATTTGGGTCTGCTTTGTCTCCGTGACTATAGTCCACCAAAGGGATGGGTGTTGAGGACCGGGATTTGGGGCACTGCGTGGTGCGGGGGGTGTGATAGAGCAGGGACCCCTCACTTCGGCCCTGGCTGGGTGCGAGCTCTGGGGCTGCTTTCACCTGCTCCCCCCAGGGCTGGGCCGGCAGGGCCGGCACTGCTCCCAGCATCCCGGGGCGGGACTGGCCAGGGGAGCTCAGCGCCCATCGCAGGACACGTGCCCTTGTGAAAGGTGGCTCTCCAGGGCTGGGCTGGGGGGGAGGCAGCTCGCAGCAGGCACAGGCTGCAGGAGCAGGACTCTGCCCAGAAGTGGGCTGCAAGTGGGGAGTTTTAAAACCAGTTTACACTGGGGACTTTTAAAACAAGTGGGACAAAGACCCGGATGCACTAAGCGAGCCCAGAGCAGGGAGCTGAGGGGCTGGCGATGGGCACGCTGGCAGATGAGCTCCTGCCGGGAGGTTTCCCACCCTGCCACCCTCCTGGCCAGGCTGCTCCTGGGATGAAGGCAAAGCATCTTGCAGTCCTCCAGGGCCTCTCCTGGCCTGGAAAATGCCCTGAATTCCCATTTGTGCTGACTGAATCCTCCCAGGTGTGTGCTGACACTGCTGCAGAGGAGGGTTAGTGCACGGGGTTGGGGAGTGGGCACAGGGCTGCAGTGCCCAGGGCTCCAGTGCCCAGGGCTGGGACCACCCTTCCCATCCCCTCTCCAACAGGGAGCAGAGCCAGGGCTGACCTGGAGCACCCAAGGAGGAGAAGGAGGGAGCTGAAGGGCCCCCAAATGCTCCCACGGGCCCGTGCAGCCTGGTCCCTGGGTGACCTTTGCAGACAGGATGGGCACATCCCTGTGCCCCAGTGGGATTTGCTGGGAGAGGGAAAACCCAGCTGGGTGCTGCTCCTTGGTGCCACGCCAAGGGGCAAAGCCAGGTTTATCCCACGGGATGGCAGGGCGCTGCAGGAATAGCCCATTTCCCGCTAAGCATCGGGCACTGTCTGCCTGGCGCTGGTGCCAGCGCGTGCCGCACCGGCATTGTGCGGGAGCAGAGGGCAGGCTGAGGCACTGGCACTAACGCCCCCCACCCCCTACCCGTGCCGCCTTTGGCGGGTCCCTCGTTAAGGAACCGACCCGAGCAGGCACAGCTCGGAGACCAGCGCCCGCCGAACCGCAGGGTGTTGGGGGGGTCCAGCCCCCAGCAGCACAGGGCCATCCTGGGCTGCCTGAGGCCACGCTGCAAGTTCTCTCCAAGGGTTTTGCAGAAGGAAAGGATTCTGCATGCTTTAATAGGATTATTTTTACCAGTCACTTAGCTCCTCTCCTTGCTAAGACAGTTTTGCTTCAAGCACTGAGTCCCTTCCCGATGAAGCCCTTCTCCAAGTGCCTGGCTATCCAGCTAACTGAACTGCGCTCCTCACCCCGATGTTTGCCGGCAGTCAGCGCAAAGTGGGGCAGCCCTGCCGGAATGAGCCAGGCCGATTTAATTTGGCCAACTGAAATGGGAGCGTGCTCGTTTTGCCTGCAAGGAACCCGGATTTTCCCTGTTGGGAGCTCAGCCCAGGGCAGGCCTGCGGGATCCTGCCGGGACTTGCCACTGCATCGCGTCCTCCCCTGGCACGGGGCTGCGGCAGCCTGCCTTCCCGCAGGAGCTGGGGGAACTATTTATTAGCACGATTTCACTCTTTGCTACCTGCTGCTTCATCACAAATTGACTGTGAATGGTACCAATGTGTCACTTATTTTTAAATTGTCACCAAATGCCTTGCAGGAGCATATGTCAGCCTCGGGATGCTTGCGATCCGCCTGCTCCTACTCAGCGCCAGCATCAGCTCTTCTTCCCAGTTCTGCCTTTTGCTGGAGGGCAATAGAGATGTCCTGGTCCTGGTAGATTTGGGATTTGAAGCTTCCCCTTCATTCTCTGGCTTCACCCAGGCTTCCTTTGGTGAAGTTGCCCGTGGGAGGGGGAAGACCCGTGGGAGCCCCCCGCCATCCCCAGCCTTGGCAGCCAGCGTCATCCTAGCCATGACACGCTGGTGGCGCAGCCCCGCGGAGCACGTTGCTCCGGGTCCTCCGACACCAGCTCCGAGCCTGGCCCAGTTAACGCTCCCGTGGGACACGCGCTCTCCGGCAGTCCGGAAGCGCTGTTCCCATCCCTCCTCCGCCGCGAGCATCGGCGGCCGCGTTAATGTAGGGAGCGCGTTCTCACGCGCCGCGAGGTGAAGAGCACTAACGAACTTCACAAGGTGGTATTGTCTAACGAGGGAATGCAGCTGCACCAGGCGGGGGGGCAGGGGGAAGTTGCTATAGAAACACAGGGAGATAACAGCTCCCCCAGAACCCCCTAAATGTGTGAACAGGAGGGTAGGGGTAGACGAGCGGGATGGCAGAGGGAGAAAGAAAAGCCTTTCTCTGTGTTACAGGGGCGAGCCCCCAGCGGGGTGGAAGCAGTGCGGATGCACCCTCTTCCCTCCCTTCTGGGATCCCACTTTGCACTTGCTGTGCATCCCCCGAGGGTCCCAGGGGTCTTTGTGGGGGGCACAAAGGTCACTTGGGTGCTGGCAGAGCAGCTCCTGCCAGGCAGAGGGGAGGTGCCCTGAAACGGAGCGAGTTCCCGATGGTGTCCCCTTGTCCACAGCATCACCGCACCCATCCACATCCCCGCATCACCAGCATCCCCCGCAGGGCTCAAAGCTCCTGCCTGGCCGTGGTGGGAGCTGGGGAGTGGCAGAAGCCAACGCTGGAGCCCAGGAGAGCAGAGCGCGGGGCTCCCAGCAGAGGCTCTGGGGGAGCCCCGGACGCGCAGGGGAAGAAGCAGCTCTGGAGTAGGTGGTTTGGCATCGGCACTCACACGTTGGGACCCTTGGCCGTGGGTACCACACAGCAAGGAGTGGGACAAGGGTCCTCCCCCACCCAGCTCCGTGGCTGTTGGCGTGGAGGGAGGAACTCAAGCTGAACCTCTGCATCGGTGTACCAGGACCAGCAGCTGAAGGGGTCCAGGACGGGACATATGAGGAGGAACTGAGTTGCTTAAATCCATCTTTTTGAGCACTGTGGAGGGGTCTGACACCCTTGTCCTGATGGACACACGCACAGGACAGGGCAAGAGATGCAGCCGGTGCCCCTGACATCCCCAGCATCCCTGGTGTCCCCAGCCCAGGCATTTGCACCTCTGGGAGGACTGAGGCCAAGAGCACACGAGGGGATAGGGCTGCTCTGATCTTTCCTTTCCAGGTATCCAGAGCTCGGGGCCACAGCTGCCTTGGCCCTGCTCCTCACTCCCCTCCCTTGTCTCACCTTTCCAGGATTTTCATCCCCAAGAAGCACCGGCAGCGGTTCGACGAGGTGGTGTCACAGAGCCTGATCAGCAAGCTCTGCCGCTCCAAGAGCGAGCACCACAGCAACCGGCTGCGGCGCAGCCGGAGCGAGGACCACCAGGAGCGACTCCTCGTCTCCACCCGTGCCAGCTCTGTGCCCCGCAGCCATGAGGAGACCAGCAAAAGCCTGCGGAAAACCACGTCGCTCATCACCAGCAACGTGGCCTCGGGGGCTGCCCGCAGGTAACAGCTCTCCTGGATGCCCTGGTTTTGCGTGGATGGCAGCACGGTGGAGGGATGCCAGGGAAAGGGGATGTCTTTAGTGTGCAGAGTGGGTGAAATCCTCCTAGGATGAGGAAAGACCTCTCCCTCTCGAAGGCTGGGCACATTTGCACCCCTTGTCACAGCCCTGGGACACCCTTTCTACCCCACTGCTGTTGCCAGGCTGCCTGGGATGAGCCACCCAGGGAGCTGGGATGGCATTTGCAGGCTGCGAGGGGATGTCGGATCCTGTGCTGGGTGGGACACAGAGTGCCTGGGCACAGAGCAGGGGCTGTTCTCCTGCCCTGACCTGGAGGGTGTCTGGGTGTAAGGCTGTAGGAGGAAGGACACAGGGGATTAACCCATTTCCCCACTGCCCATATGGCCAGACTCAGCAGCGCTGGAGAGCCAAGGTGGCTCCTGCTCTGTTCCCAGCCCCATCTCACGAGCAAGAGAGCAGGATTCCGTCTGCCAGCACAGCTGGGGAATCCTCCTGGGAGGGACTGTGCTGTCACAGGCACATCCCGAGCTATCCCCCTGCCTCCAGCTAGTATATTCAGGGTGTTAGGCTGCAGCCCGCCTTCCCACCAGGATAATTTTTTGGTGTGACTTATCCAAAACCCAGTCCCAGCACAGTCTCCCTCCCTGCCAGCATAGCATCAGTCCCTACAACAGGCTTTCCGGCTGTAAGTGATCTCAGTGATGTTGCCTTCCCTCAGCTCCCTGCAGGGAACAACTCCCAGCTCCAATCAGCCTCCCAGCAGGGAGATTTCCTAATGTTCCTTCCAAAATTTCCTAGCTGAATTTAATTTCTCTCTCATCAGCCTACGAGATCTTTGCCCCTCCCCACACTCATTTTAAAGACACGTCGGACGGTGGTTTTATGAACTGGGTGTTTAATGCAGAGCAAGGGGCCATGCTCCGGGGCTCATCCCCTAGAAGAGCAGCATCGCTTCCTGTCTCCAGATACCCCCACTGCTCCCTGAGATTTTGTCTGGGGCAGTTCCAGCACCACCCATATGACTCCCCACCCACCACCCCGTGCTGGCTCAGCACCATGAGCTCCCTTTCCTTGCCTACACGGGATGCACTGTCACCATCCAAGATCACTACATCAGCACACACCTTCCCTCCATCCCCTCTCCCAGTGAGGGGGCACGTTTGAAAGATGCTTCAGTATCAAAGGGGACCTTGCAGTGACACAGGGCTTGGACACTCCAGAGACCTGGGCCAAGGAGGGTTTGGAGGGGCTGGGAAAGGGAACAAGGACAAACATTGAGCTCTGATTTCACAGTTGCTTTTTTCCCCCTGCAGAACTGTGCGAGTTTATAAAGGTAACAGAAGCTTCGGCTTCACGCTACGTGGCCATGCCCCGGTGTGGATCGAGTCTGTTCTGCCAGGTAAGAAAACCTCCAGTCACAAGACTGAGACACTTATCTCTGCTTTGAACTCAGTTTTAAGTACCTGCTGTTTGCTAGGAAACAGCAAAAGGGGCTTTTACAAGACTCAGTGATGGAGTTGCCTCTCTTTCTCCTGTGTAGGGAGCCCAGCTGAAAAGGCAGCTCTTAAAGCTGGAGACCGGATCCTGTTCCTGAATGGTCTGGACATGAGGTAAAAGGCTGTTTGGAAGACCAAGGGGTCCTGGGGTGGTGGCCAAGCACATATTCACTCTCATGCAGACAGGAACAAGAGCTGGACATCCTGGAGAGCCATCTTCAGAGGTGCACAAGGGGTTTTGCCCCACGTGAGCATCTCCTTTAACATTCTTTTACAAAAACTGGCTCCAAGAGCAGTATTTTGGCTCCATCCCTGCTCCTCCTTTGACTTGTCTGTGCAAGTTGCCACGTGTAATGCATGACAGCAACTGGTGTCCTGAGCACAACCCACCCACAGGCCCCGATTAGAGCCACTGTGAGTTAAACTGTATGGGTCAACCATGCAGGGCTCTGCATTCAAAAGGAGCAGAGCACCAGCCAGCCCACGAATCACTCCCAGGATGGGATCAGAAGCTTAAAATGACATAGGTCATCATACACAGGAGAACTGACTTCTGGGTGGAAATATTACTTGCACCCAACAGCGACCAAACCAGAGCCGAGCGAGCACCTCGCCGATGCCACCCCATATTTCCCCGGGTTGGTCTTTCTGCACAAAGAGTGAGAGCGAAGGGTTAGAAGAGGCCACAGGATAAGAGAGAACAATGAATATTTAAAGGTTAAACAAACATCTGATGCTGCTTCTGCCAGTGCTGGGGTTCTCACATTTCAGCTGGTCCAGCAAACTGTGGGCTGATGCAGCACTGCTGGAAAATAGAGGAGACCGAGTAGAAGATTGTCCTCTGAGCCCGTGGCAGGCATTGTCGCAGGCCAGCCCACACCCTTGTCCAAGGACACATTTTTTGGCCTACAAAAATATATTTTACACCCACCTTGCATTTTCTTTTCAGGCAGAATTAGGGCAGGCAAGGAGAGACCTGCAGCACTGCACCATTTAAATGTAAGGTTCATCTTCTGGGTCTCAGCCTAGCTTAAAGCAAGGCTGGCTTCAAATGCCGAAGGGCTCCGCAGGGTGCTCCGGCTTGCTGTGGGAGTCGCCCTATCCCTTGGGAAGGCTTTTTGGAGCAGCACAAATCAAACCCAGCAAGGACTGAGAATCCATGGGAATTGTGGCAGGGCCTGGCTCTGAGCAGCCACACGAGGCTTTTCCCAAGATAAACAAAGGGGCTGCAAGGTCCGTTTCCCCACTGCGCTCCCAGGAGCCTGATCCTGTCTCTCCTGTGTCCCGCAGGAACTGCTCCCATGACAAGGTGGTGTCGATGCTGCAGGGCAGTGGGGCAATGCCCACCTTGGTGGTGGAAGAGGGGATCGTCAACTTCTCCAATGGTAAGAGCGTGTGGTAGAGAGGGCTTGGAGCAGTGGAGCCAGCTCCTGAATTCCCCACACTGGAGAGAATTGCCCAACACCTGCCGTATGCTCAGCAGGTTTAACACACTGCCCAGAGGGCTGCTCCTCTCCTCAGGGCATGTGGCTGCCCATTTTCTGGGATCAGGCTTAATCCCGGGCTTGGCTGCTCTCCAGAAGGATTCATCCTGCTGTGTGATCGTCCTTGCAGTGTCCTCCCATGCAGTCTGTGCCGTGTCTTTGACCAAAGTAATCCAACCCTGTGCATCCACGGTCGCTGTGCAAATCCCACCGTTGTGCATGGACTGTGCGGTGCAGAATAGCTGCTGCTGCATGAATAATTCAGCTTGCTGCTGGTGAGCGAGTCAGCAGGAGAGGAGGGTGTCGGGGCAACGCGGGTGGTTGTCAGCAGGATTTCAGCAGCAGCACAGACCCGCAGCCTGGGCAGAGCCCAGTCACTGCCACGTTTCCAACACTGTGCACAGGCAGGAAAGTCGGTGTGTTACTGGGATGCTGCCCTGCAGTGTGTAGACCCAGGAATTAGGGACTGGCTATTCCCTCCAGAGCAGCGGTGGACTCTGAGATTTGTGTTAGGAGCCCTGTGTTACTAACTTGTTCCCATGTGCCCAGAAACAAAACCGAGCCCCCCACTACTTCACAGCATCCAGCCAGTGGCACTGGAACTCCTCCACTGCCCTCAAAAGAAACCGAGATGAAGTTTTTTGCTCCTGCTGCCTGGGACCTGTTCCTGCACAGATAAGTGCATCCCACAGACGTGGTCAGATCCCCTCTCCTGGCCATGCGTATGGCCCTGCCCTCACTGCAGAGGAGGCCAGGCTGTGGCACAGGGGACAGTGCCGATGAGCGTGGCCAAGCAAGCGACCTTCCTCACCTCAGTCCACTCTCAGGTAACCCTCGACTGACTCTGCTTTTGTCAGCAGTTGTCATAAAGTGCTCTGAAACTAGAGCCGAGAAGGAGTATCAGCTGCATGTGTTCACAAAAAGTGCAGAAGCAGCAAGGTTGAGGAGAGAGATCTCAGAGAGCACCCCAATCAAAACATCCCTGCTCACCCCCAGCAATCCATAGACCTGCTGGAAGAGCCACGAGCTCCAGGGTGTGGGAGGACAGCAGGGCAGTCACAGCTCCACAGGAGCCATTTCACCTTGTCACCATGATGCTTCCAGTGACCAAAAATCTCTTTTTGCTGGCGTAACAGCATCTGCATCAGCACATCAGGATCTGTATTTCTCTGGAGCACCCATCGTGCCCAGGTGCAGCTGCCCCCAGGACTGAGCCTCGATTTTGGGACAAGCCTTTAAACCTGTGGTTAAGGCCCTTTGTCTGCTGAATTTTCTGTTTTCTACCTGCGCCTTGCAGACTCTGACTCTGCTGACTCCCCGAGCACCTCCTCGGCCCTCACCTCCCTGCAGTGGGTTGCAGAGATTCTCCCCTCTAGCATCAAGATCCAAGGAAGGACCTTCACCCAGCAGCTGGAGCACCTCCTGACTGCACCCGAGCGCTACACCATCTGCAGAGCGCTGGAAGCCTTCTTCCAACACCGGTAACTCGTTAGCAGCTCCATTCCCCTGGTGCCGGTACCTGGCCCGGGAGCAACACCCACATCCCAGGCAGTATCCAAACAGATCTCAGCTGTGGGGCTGTCACCTCTGTGTTCATGTTCTTCCATTTCCCAGTTTTGCATTTCCCTGGGCGTATCTGCAGGGCACAAGCCCATCTCTCAGACAGTGTCCTGCCGGAGGGCAGACCCTTCAGCTTTTGAGGCTGGTTTTGTCACCCCTCAATCCCTCAAAAAGTGACCTAGGTCCCCCCCAGCATGGGCTCTCTTGTTGTCTGGCCATCCCTGATGGCCACAGATCCCGTTTCACTTCTTTCAGTAAATCTCACCGTCTTTCATCCTCATCTCAGCATCTTGGCAGCAGCACAGGTGGCTGGCAGAGCCCCCATCGTGCGATGGAGCACATCCTGCCCTCCCTGCTGACAGGGTCAAAGCCAACCCCCTGGCAGACTCCAGACATTCACTAGTGACATTGTTTTATGCCCTCGGTCTTTAAGCTTTCTGCACCACGGTGAAGAAGCCATCCTTCCAGGCAGTGGGAGATGCTCACTGCCTCTTCCTGCAGCTGCTGAGATGACTGACCCGGGCTGCCCAGCTGCTCCTCGGGAGCCCAGGTCCCACACAGGCTGTGGATGCACCAGCCAGGGTCCTGCTGCAATGGTGCAGGGGCTGCTGGTGCAAAGACTGAAGGGTCAGAGGATCCAGATCCTCAGTTTAACAAGAAAATGCAGTCAGGGCCTTCGGGTTACTGAAGGTAAGAGAGGACAGAAACCCACAGGTGCTGTCTCTCATCACCAGAGACAACCCTTTTGAGGCCCCATGATCACTAACACTGCCCCAGCAGAGCTGAAATCACATCTTTGGGCTCTCCTGACGCAGCACTGCTTCCACAGGATTCCGAGTCAGAGGAGTGGTGGGAGCAGATCCAGCCCTCGGGGTTCAGGACTGGGAAATGCCAATCCCACCCTGGCAGGGTATTTGGTCTTGCTCCATAGCACAAGGATGGGAACCCCAATACTACAAACCGAGTCCCCAGCCCCCTCCCATGCAGGCCAGCACACATTGCTTGGTCTTCCAGCTGTGTTTTACCACGGGCTGCTGCCTGTGGGGAACAAGGGGTGGCGGACACACTGGCATGCCCACCCTCTCCTCCAGCCACCTCATTTTGCATGTAGCTGCCCCGGATGGCTCAATGTAGAGGCCACTGCTCCATTTAATGGTAATTCATCATGACCTAATTGCATGCCCTTCCTAGACAAGCCAGCTGTGACCTCCAACTGCTCCAACCAGGAGAGAAATCCTCAAATATTAGGTTTACGTTGCTTGCCACCACCACATGCAGATACCGGCATCTCCCAGCAGCCAACACAGGGGACAAAGTCAGGACACCTCTGCTCTGGGCTTTGCCCCCCCAGCCCGTTTGGGCATGACAAGCAACATGCCTCTGGAGCTTCTCCAGGATGCTTTAACTCTTCCAAATGGGAAATAGGCTTCTGACAGCCAGGAGCTGCATCCAGCTCTACAGAAAAGGGAAGTTAGCCCCAAACTAGGGAGAAATCCAGCCCCAAACTCCTGGCAGGGTCCATATGGCTCCTGCTGCTTCTCATGCCAGCTGGCACCTGAGGACCCCCAGGACACTCCATTAATGGCATCCTCATGGCATCCAAGCCTCTTCTCCCTTCAGCTCTGCCCTGCATGCCCAGTGCCTGCCCCTTGGAAGGCAGCAACAGCCCATTCCATTAACATCAAGACTCACTTCTGCATATGCAGCCTCCTCCCAGCTCTTGTACAAGGCCCCCACCATTACTCCTCCATCAAGGATGCAATAGTTGCAGCAAGCTTTACCTCACCATCTCTGCCCCAGTGGAAAAGCAGCCTGACTTTAGGCCCCCAACCCAGGACAGCCCTCCTGCCCCAAGCTGCCTTATCCCCCTGAACGGGGAATCCAGCCCTGCTGTTCTCAGCAGCCCTCTCACCATCTCCCCACAGCACATGGCCAGTGTGAGACCGAGCCTTCAGCCCAGCCACCCTCCCCATTGCTCCCTGAGCCTCCTTACCTGCAGATGACTGAGAATCCCATCTCTCCAAGCTATCCCAACACTCCTCCACCCCAGGCACCCTGCCTGACTCAGGTTTTATACCTGGCTCACAGGTGCTGCTGGTTCCAGGTGTTTGCTCTCCCATTAGCACCAGCTGCACAAACCCATTGCCCCACAGCTCGGCCCCATGGCTCAGCCCCTCGCTGCCAGCCCAGTACCTCTGCTTTGAATGACCTCTTTGTGCCAAGGACTCCGAGCCAACCCTGGCAGCCAAGACCTGGCTGGGAAGCACCGGAGCCCAGGGAGCAGCATGGAGGGGCTGTGCCACAGGGACATGCTCACTGTCCAGCCCTCTCTTTCCGATTTTGCAGGAATATTGACACTCTCATTGTGGATGTGTACCCTGTGCTGGACACACCGGCCAAGCAAGTCATTTGGCAGTTTATCTACCAGCTGCTGACGTACGAAGAGCAGGAGCACTGCCAGCAAAAGATTGCCAGGTTTCTTGGTTACAAGTCCTTGGCAGGTGAGAGGAAAGCCCCTGCGCTCCGGCACGGACATGCTGTGTCCCACTGGGACCCTGGGAACCTTGGTTCGTCGTGCTGGGAGCAGGTTGGGGCATGCTGCCCACACAGAGCAGCGGCCGAGTGGGATGTAGAGCAGCGCAGGGAAGTCTCCAGCTCCTGTTACGGATGAGGTTGATCCGTAAATGTCAGGGGGGAGGTTACCTTGGCTGCACCACAGAGCCGGGTAGTTTTGGGAAGAAACTCTGTGTTGAGAGATGGTACCTGGCTCAGTGGCAGAGGTTGTCTCTGGGAGTGAAGGGTTTGGAAGCTGGTTTGGGTCAACCCAGAAGGAAAAAGGCTGGAGCCCCTCTGCCATGGGGACAGGCTGGGAGAGTTGGGGGGTTCAGCCTATAGAAGGGAAGGCTCCAGGGAGACCTCAGAGCCCCTTCCAGTGCCTGGGGTGCTACAAGAAAGCTGGGGGGGGCTTTTTCCAAGGGCAGGGAGTGACTGGACAAGGGGTAACGGGTTTAAACAGGAAGAGGGAGATGGAGATGGGACATCAGGAAGGAATTCTTCCCGCAGAGGGTGGGGAGGCACTGGGACAGGTTGCCCAGAGAAGCTGTGGATGCCCCATCCCTGGGAGTGTCCAAGGCCAGGCTGGATGAGGCTTGGAGCAACCTGGTCTGGTGGAAGGTGTCCCTGCCCATGGCAGGGGGTGGGACTGGGTGGGATTTAAGCTCCCTTCCCACCCAAACCAGTCTGGGATTCTGTGAAAGACCTGGCTTAGGGGCAGTGTTCAGGTCAGAGAGGCAAAATAAGTGCTGAGGGCATTGTCCCTCAGGGTATTTCCAGCAGTTCAGTGTCAACAGCCATCCGTGGCTGGAGGAGGTGAGGAGTGCGGCTCTCCCGGCAGTGAAGTGCCTTCCTGGGAATGCTGCTCTCCCAAATAGACATGGAAGCCAGTTGACAATTCTCCTCCTTTTCCACCTCACCCTCACCTGGGGCTGTGGCAGCACTCAAACCAGCTGTGGTTTGCCGAGGATTACAGGATTACAGTCAGGCAGCAGCAAAGTGAGGGCAAATTTGGAGGGGAATGTCGTAATCTTTGTATCTGGGCTCCTTAATTGCTTTCAAACTCTTCTTCTCTAAGCTATTTACGTTGTGTCGATGCGTTTGTTTTAGACAAGGTAGGTAAGGAGAGGTATCACTTGAAGAGGGGGTTTGGGAGGAATGGTTAGTTCGGCACAGCCTTTCCCCCTGCAGGGAGAAACCACGCAGAGTCCTGGTGCAAATGCTCCCTGCCGTGCAGGGAAACCCGGGGCTATTTGCTCACCGACTTTGCATGCTCAGCTATCGCTGCTTTTGTGTGTGCAGAATCCTGGCCCAACCAACCCAACGTGTGGTATATTCCCACGACCTTAGACCCTAAAACTACTTTATAAACTTCAGAAGATCTCAGAGGGAAGCTGATATAGTCACAGTTTGCAGTTGCGTTTCAGGAGTACAAGGCAGCATCTCCAGCCAGGGCAGAGGAGGGAAGCATGGGAATAGGTCTCCCAGGAGCAGGCTGTTCCAGACTGTTGCTCAGGTTCGCAGGCTGGTCCCTGGCTCCTTTCGGTGGCCCGGGGGAAGGGGCCAACCTCTGCCCATGCAACGCTCGGGCTGTTCTGGTGCGTTACGTGTGTGTCCATGCGTGGAAGCGCGATGGCCAGAGACCTCTGAATCTGGGTTAGTCCTTCCCCTGGGCTTCTTCCAGACTTCAGACATCAGATCTCTGATGTGTGTGTGCATCCGGCTTTCCGAGCATTGGTCTGTCAGATGCTGCGGAGACTGATTCTCCGGTGTCTTCATCCTGCTGTACGTCTGAGCCGCTCTGAGCTGCCGCACTGTGCTGCACATGGACCAATCCATTAGCCAATGTGGTTCTTCCAGGCAGTGTTTTGGTGCTGGCCCCACCTTCTCTCCTGAGGACAGGAAGGACTTAGCTGGGCCCTTCTGGACCAGCCTAGCTGAAGGCTGGAGTTTCATGTGCGCCATAAGCTGGTGGATGCCAATCCTGCTGGAAAAAGCAATTGCATATCCCATCTTTGGGCATCCATCCCCCTGCCCTGTGCTGGCCGGGGCCATGCCAGGACCGGGGGGCGGGCAGCTGCAGTGCCAGCCAGGCTGTGCATGGGGCCACGGCTGAGCACACGGCTCGGAGGGCAGCTGCGAGCCCCACAAGC